CCTGTATCAGTTTGTATCTTTGTATTTTCTCTCTCTATAATGTCCTCACAGCCTGTATCAGTTTGTATCTTTGTGTTGTCTCAGCGGAGATAAGTGCTGTGCTGAAGGTGGACAACAGGATTGTGGGGCGCACACACTGGCGACAGCTGGGCAAAGAGGCCTGGGGCCAGAGCTTCAGCATGGAACTGGAACGGGTCAGTGGCTTTCACTTTAGCAAGAAACTCAAATTACAACTGAGCCAGAACTACATACTTACCTGCTTTTAGAATGACAAAAACCTAATGACTGACTGAGTCACTGTCTCCTGGCTGTGATATAGTACTGCAACTGAATTTCTAATTCAATCTCTCAGCACACGTGCCTCCAAAGGAGTCTGTATTTGAGTGTATTTATTAAATGTTATCACAGATGGAGGGTGATGATGTTGCTGCCTGAAAATTTAAGAATGCAAATTTAATCTCAGTAAACAAAATCTACCTTTTTGCTTTTTAACTGGCCTGCTAGCTTAATACACCAATATATCATTACTTTTATGTAGAGACTTTAACCTTTCGTGCATATATGGATCCCCCTGCTCATCCTTTTAAAAGCAAGGGAGACAGATCTGTCAGCTGATAGAGAATTACTAAAGATTATCCTTAAACCCATATGTGTCAGTCAAGTTCCATTTTTCTGTGCTTGAGCAGCTACACTTCTCTAAACAGTCCGTGCTGTCCCCACGTCAACTTCTATTGTGCAGCAGAATGCTTCGTTTCACTTTCCTGATCAATGCTGACTACAAAGTATACGCTAAATTATTAGCAGTATTCTATTTGCAACAAGAAAGTTATTCATTCATCTACATCAGTTAAGAATGAAACGGCCCATTGCTTTGACCATATGTGGGAACAATAAATGTGTCTTCGTCTTCATGATGGCCTGTACTACCACACAGTGTAGACGCTGTTAGACCAGTGCTGCGAGCGCTCTTAGCCCCCATGATGAACATCTGTTAACAGCAGCGCGAATGACGCGATTAACGCGGCGTGAATAATTTGCATCGCGTTTGGTGTGAACACAGCATTAGTGTTTTGGAAAGAGACTTTTTTTGAGACAGTAACTCAAACTCATCTTTAAATCAAGCTGTGCAAAACTTCCCGTGATTAGTAAACTGACCTGTATGTATAAAATCGGTGACTTCCCCTTTAAAATGTAAAGACTCACTGTTAAACAGAGAGAATGAGAGGAATGTTAGATGCACTATCAAAACCGGAGTCTTAAACGGGGATGCTGGACGTGTATGGGTTAAACCAGATTAGAGCAAATGTCAGGGGATTAGCAGTGGGATGACATGAGTAGAGTAGGAGGCTGACAGAGCATCAAAGACATTCTTGGTCATTATGACTCACTGTGGGACAAGATGTCATTGTTCTTAAGAGCATCTCACTGAAGAAGTCTTACAATATAAATATGTTTTTCTCAAGTGTGGCAGTGAGTTGAATCCCATCAACTGTCTGTTATGTATTATTTTTCAGTAATTCAAAAGATGAAGCCATTCTGTTCCACCAAATTTAAGAATCCAGTCTTTTGGAAAACAAAGATGATGAAATGAGATTATAAGCGCGCATGAATATTTGTAATATGTGTTTGTGTGTGTTGATCTAGTCCAGGGAGCTGGAAATCTCTGTGTACTGGAGAGACTGGCGAGCGTTAAGTGGGGTGAAGTTCCTGCGGCTGGAGGATTTCCTGGATAACCACCGACATGGCATGTGTCTCCAGCTGGAGCCTCAGGGCAACCTCTTCATTGAGGTTCTTTCTCTCTAATTTTTAAAAATTATTATTTATTTCCACTTTGTGTTTGCCCGTGTGCCCGTCCACTAATCGCTGTAGGGGCCACTAGTGATAACAAAGCTGACTGCATCGCTGACCCCCATCTGCTACTCTGTGACCAGAGACACAGCGGGGGAAACAGTTAGCTCACTTTCAGTGTTATAAATCTCAAGCTTGAGATTTTAGGTGGAGTGATTTGCCTGTCTATGCACTGGGGAGGAGTTTAGAGAAGGGGAGGTTATATAAGGGCTGGGTGTGATCTTTTCCAATCCCTTTGTGTTACACCATGCTCCCATAGCAGTAATGCTTCCGCAACATCCATCCATCCATCCATCCATGGCAGCGGTGGCAGCAGGCTGACCCAGACCTCCCTCTCACCGGCAACATGTTCCAGCTCGTTCTGGGGGATCCCGAGGCGTTCCCAGGCCAGCTGGGAGATGTAATCTCTCCAGCGTGTTCTGGGTCTTCCCCGGGGTCTCTTCCCAGTTGGACGTGCCTGGAAAACCTCCAGTGGGAGGCGTCCAGGAGGCATCCTAATTAGATGCCCGAACCACCTCAGCTGACTCCTTTCGACGCGAAGGAGTGGCGGCTCGACTCCAAGCTCCCTCCTGATGACCGAGCTCCTTACCCTATCTCTAAGGCTGAGCCCGGCCACCCTACGGAGGAAGC